AGCCTCACAGACCTCTGAGACCTGCCCTATTCTGGCCTGGGACCCAGATTACCTCGGTCACTCCTCTCTACCAACCATTTGTCCCTCAGAGCTCTGTTCATCCCCTAATCTGCCCCAATCTCCAACCTCCCCCAGCCCCCCAAGTCCTTGCCCTGGGCTCCCTGAAATTTTATCCCATTGTCAGCAAAACCCCCACATTCTCGACTTCCCTTCTGGCTCTGGTGGAAGCCTGGCTCTCTCCCCTGCAATCCCTTACATGGGGGTTTTCATGGCCCACACCCCTGGGCCCGGAGGTGGTAGGACCCTCCTTGCTCTTCACTGCTGTTTCTAGACCATTGCTCAGTCTCTTCTCCAAACCCCCTGCCTCTCTGAAAGTCATCCCACTTTTCTCTCCCAGGCACACCTTGTTCTTTGAGGAGTTAGCACTGCCCTGCCTCATGCCCCCCGCTTCAGCCAGCAGGTACTAGTCCGGCCTCGCTGCTCGCTGGTCAATAGTTAGGTACTGAAATCCTACCTCTCACACAAATCACCACCAGTAAGTCCAGGGGAGAGAGCTGGGCAGGGGTGCCTCCTGGGCTTGACAAGCAGAGAGGGGAGGGTCTGGGACTCAGGCCCCCTCTCCTCTCCCTCCACCCCAAAGTGGGTGGAGGGGTGAGCTCTGTGCCTCAGCCCTGCAGCTCTACACACCCTGAGGCTCAGCCCAAGCACACCTGGGCAAAGGTGCTCCAGGGCCCAAGAAGAACAAATCCTTCCTACAGCCCGAGGGCAGGGCCAGGCTGTGCTCACACCAGTTCGGGGGAGCACTAGTCTGAGGTTCCTGCCCCCCTCCACCACCATCCCCCAACTCTATCACTCTCAGCACTGTCAAGCCCTGCCCCCTGGGTTGCTGAGGACAGAGGGCTATTTTCTCGGGGAAGTCCTCTGGCTGACTGGACGAGGGGAAATGTAGCACTAAAATTCAGTATTCACTGAGACAGAGGGAAGGGCCAGAGCAGCCAGTGGGGTTCCCTGTGTCAAATCGGGACCCAGACAGGGCCGTCATTTAGCTTGTAACAGCCTCATCATCGAAAGACCACACCAATAATTTCTAAAAACCAACCGATAATTTGGGGCTCATTAGAATAATTTGATGAATCACTTGCACTTCAACTTTTAACTTAGTAAGCAGTTTCATAATACACAGTTGATGTATAGAGAAAATAAAAATGAACTTTAGTTTTATCTTATATACCAATTTGGATGACCTTTCCAGTTGCTAAATACTTTGAATGTCATCCCTACCTCCTTGCCACCTGTGCCACCCAGTTCATGGGCTTACACTTGACCCTGAGATTACCAATAACCACACTTAAAATCTCAGTCTTTTGCATCCACTCCTGGACTCCTGTGCACCCCCCCCCAACTCGTTCAGCTATCTCCTGTGAGCCCCCGACTCCAACAATTCTCTGACCCCCACCCCAGGCTTCTCACACACTGACCCTCCATCACTGACCTTTCACCCAGTTCGGGGTCCATCCGTGTGCATAACCCTCACCTTCTTGCTCTCCTCTTGACCCCCATCCTGGTCATAGGCAACACTCCAGCTCAACAAACTGCAGCAACACACTAAATGTGCCCTGAGAAAACCAAGAATCTCAAGAGGGGCCTTGAAGCCATCGACACACATACTTCATGTCTCAAGTCTGGTCCATGGTCTCTCCCTCTCTCATGGAGAAAAATTTGACTCCCTTACTCCTTCCATGAATATCCAACCCTGCCTCCCACTCCTCATTCTCAGTTGATGGCTCTGCTTCCCATTTCATCAAGAAAATAGAAAAAGCAGGAGAGTAGTGTCACAAGCTCCCACCGTGCCTACCCAGAGGTGTTCCCTGCCCTCCTGGTGCAGTAAATGTGCCATCATCCCCCTCATCAAAGGCCACTCTTGCACTTGTGTCCTGGACCTCATCCCCCCTCACATTGCCCCTACATTGCTCCCTCCTTTCTCTGGGTCCATTTCCTTCTACTGGAACATGCCACCAGCATCACTCATGCCTTAACGTCTCCCCCGCCAGCACAGAGTAGACAGCAAAGTGGTAGACATCCCACTAGCACAACGCAGGGCAGCAGAGGGAGGTAGAAGGAAGGAAACAATCCAAGATGTGGCAGGGGCTCAGACAGCCAGCCCAGCATGTGCAAAGATCCTGTGGTAGGAAGGAGCATGCAGGAAGGAAGGCCCAGCTGGCATATGCACAAAGAGGGAAGTGGGGGGGAGTGAGGCCAGGCAGAGGCTGGGTCAGGCCCTCTTAAAGATGTTGAACTTTTCCCTAAGAGCATGGGGAAGCTGGTGAGTGTGTTAAGGTGGAGGCGGCTTGATCAGATTGGCATTTTCAAAGGATCACTATGATAACTGCAGTGAGGGATAAGAGTGGGTGTAAAATGACCAGCGGGGAAGCTATTGCAGTCTTCCAGGAAAGCAAGAACAATGGCCTGGCAGTGGGTGGTGCTGTCAACAGAGATGAAGAGGTGCTTTTGAGGGGCACTGAGAAACTAATACAGTGGGATGTCACGATGGATGAGACCTGCACCGAGGAGGGGATGTCAGTGACAATGACCGGGCTGAGACTGGCACAGGGGAGCCGTGGCGAGGCATTCGCTGACCTGGCTGCTGCCTCTGGAAGACAAGTCTTGAGGGAAATGAAAGATCATGAGTTCAGGGGTGGACCTGCAGAGTGCATGGTGCCTTTCAGATATCCACCATGCAATGTCAAATAGGCAGTTGATCACCTGGTTGAGCCTCACAGGAGAGGTATGATTATTTTGCACAGCCTCTCAACAAGCATCTCTTCACCCTTCTGTGCTGGGCACCGCACTAGGAGCCAACGGTCAGCCCAAGGATGTCCGAAGCACAGGCTCGCGCAGAGGGACAGCCAGGCCGCGTGCAGAGCAGGCGTTGGTGTGCAGCACTGAGCAGAGGGATGCGGTGGCTCTGCCTGTGAGGCCTCGGTTTGGGGTTGAACACTGTCCCTGATTGGTCAGGGGACTTGGGGCACGTCAGGACTGTTCTCACCTCACCTCCTGTGGGCTCCTTACAAAGATGCCTGGATAGGGTAGGCGCCAACCAAACATTTGTCAGATTGAATTGAGAGAAAGTGAGAGTGCTTTGCAAAGAACTTCCAAACACACTAATTGATCATTTTAACAATAGGGAGGATATTATATCCTCCTAGCAGCCAGTATGAAGACACTTGTCAGGGGAGAGGGGTGTGTGAAGCTACTAGGGGGAGGTTGCAGCCTTCCGTTAATGGACCAGGATGCAATGAGGGCAGAGGGGAAAAGTGCTTGGGACTCCAGAGAAGTGGGGAGACAACAAGGTCAGGGCATGGGGGAGCAAGAAGCGGGATGTCCAGAACACTCAGAGAAGAGACCGGCCCTGTGGGAACATTTTGGTGAAACACTGTGCCCTTGGGACCCTACAAAACTTCCATGAAGTGACCAGAAGTCCCAAAATGCTCTGGGAAATTTCTCTTGCAGAAATTGGGACAGAGACAGTGGATGGGAGGTGATGGGGGGGTCAACCATCTTTTCTGTAACATGCAGCATATAATAATAACTAGAAACACCTAAATTACTTATTTTCATGTAATTATCTTCATGTGCCCTATATATGCAGGTGTATATAATATATATAGGTTTATGTTATAATCTTTTAAAATTCCTAAATACTTTCTGTAGTACATAGTAAAACTCTCTCTGTGGGCTATATGGCTCAGAATTCTACAGGAAAATAAACTGCCATCATGAACTGAGGACTGTATTAATTAGGTTATATCAGCTACTGTCACAGAAAAACCCCAAGCGTCAGCGGCTGAATGTAGTCAAGTCCATCTGGCCCTCACGGCAGTGCCCTCGGGCACGCTCACTAGCATGCAAGGCCTGGCTCTGAGCACTTTACCTATGTCAGCTCATCTATTCCCCACGACAACCTGGGCACAGACCTCCACTTTCAGGTGAGGAAACTGAGGCACTCAGTGAGGCCTGCAGCTCCCAAACCTGCCTGTCACTCTCTACACCCCGTCACCCAGCCCAGGTCCGATGGTTCATTTGTTCAGGGAAAGTCAGCCGACATTTGTTGCACCTATGCTGGTGCTGGGGACACAAAAGTCCCTACTGTCATGAAGCGGACATGGCTCTCAGTTCTGCTGCGCAGGTCTGTGTTCACAGAGGGTGCACTGCGCAGTTCACTCATTCACTTAGCAGCCGCGGTGGGGCCTGCTGTGGCACTGAGCTGGGGTTTTCACCTGAGCCGGTTCCCACCTTCTCACTGAGCAAATACTTAAGTGTCAAAAGCCCTGATTCCATCACTTCCTGGCACGAGGGCTTATTCAGTCATTCAGCCTCCCTGAGCCTGTTTCTTCATCTGTAAAACGGAGAAACTACCCCTCACAGGCCTCTGGCAGAGCCAGAACATGTCTAGTCTAAGATCCTGGCAGAGGGCCCAGCCCCAGTGGGGGCTCGCCACCCTGGATTTCAGGGCTGTTGGGGGCTGGGGCCGTGAACTCTATGCCACTGCAGAGGAGAGGTGCTTTGCAAGCTTGTCTGAAGAGCTGCGGGAATGTTTGTCAGCATCAGTCTGGGGCCTGCCTTCTCTGGAAAGCGTTCTCTCGTGCAAACTGCAGTGACTCCCAGCTGAGCTGAGACACAGAGATGGCCTCACACCCTAGGTTCATGGTTCATCAGCCTCTAGCCTCAGTCTAGCCTTGGTGGCAGTCCCCAGCTCAGAAGCTTCCGTGCAGGAGTTAAAGGCTGGGTTTCGGAGTCTCCTCTCAGCACTGGTGGGGGGGAAGGGTGTGTGTTTTGATTCACTAGGAGGATGTGCAAACAGACAAAGCAAGACCTTCTGTCAAGGGAGAGGAAGGGGACTGAGCCAGCTTCAGGAGAGTGAGAGGTCAGGAAGAGGCCAGTGGGCACTGAACCCCAGAAACTATAACATCTCATGCATCCTTTCTGCCCTTGTTTTCCAGGGAACTTCAAAGGTCTCTGCAAGCAGATCGATCACTTCCCGGAGGATGCAGATTACGAGGCTGACACAGCAGAATACTTCCTCCGTGAGTGCAGAGTTCCTTACCTCCTTCCCAGTGATGGGCCTGCCCACCAATGTGCTGAGTGCCAAGCACCAGGACTCTCTAGAGTCCCCTGTCTCAGCAGAGGGCAGGCAAAAAGCTGAGCCTCTCTCCTTTCCTTCTGTCCAGGGGCCAAACCTTCATACGTGCTGTGCCCTCTGCCCCCGACACCTTTCCCTCTCTTCTTTGTCTGGCAAACTCCTACTCATCCTCCAGGTCTCAGCCAAAACATCACCTCTTCCAGGAAGTCCTCCATGCTCCTGAACAGATTCCCAGTGCACACCACTTTCAATGTGCTGTGGGATCCTTGTCTCCCTCACAGCCCCACCCACACTGCCAGACCAAGGGCTCTTCCTATCTTGGCTGCACTGTATTTTCAGCTCAGTGCCCTCAGTAAATATGTCTTGAATAACTGAATGAAGAAACTCATCAGGCAGTGCCAGATTAGAACTTCTACTGAAACAATAAATGAGATTCTTTTCTTCCCCCACAAGTCAAGTCTAAGATAAATCCTGATGTAACAGGTGCTATCTTAAACCCACTTGAGACATATTTTCAAGAGAAAGCATTTGAGTCCCAAAGAGAATGTCTCAAGAATTCACAGAAACTAACATGATGAAATGTTCCCCGAGGAAAGGATTTCCAGGAGAGGGGCTGAGGGTCCTTGACGCCTGGGACAGCAAAGCCGCCCCAGCAGAAGTGGCTGCGGGCTGGGCTCCAGGCTCTCAGACCCACTCTCCCTGAGACCTGCGCTCCTCCCGCTCCTCCGGCTCCTCCCAGAAGCATCCCTCCTCTGAGCCTCCCCTCCCCCACGGCAGAGTGGTTAGCATTACTCTCAGATCACTTCTATGAAAAATGTAGGAGGCATTTTATTATATGGATCACTCGTCTCTTTCAATAATTATTCTTCACATCAAACCCAATTTCAGGTCAGCCTGAAAAGCCCATAAAACACGAGGTCAGCCAGGCAACCGGGAAGAGAAGAGAAGGGAACATGATGCAATTTATAGATTTCTTTTTAAAGGCGAGAAAATATCTTACAATGCTCACCTTTTTTTTTTTAAATCAATTCTTGCAATATGCCACTCTTAAATGGAATTCCTAAAGGGCCGTTTGGTTGTGTTCCCTGTTACCGTGTCTGGGGCTCCCGGAGGAGTTTGGCAGTGGTGTGAAGGCAGATTGAGCGCCTTCTGGATGGTAGACCCTGTGCTCACAGCTGAGATAGAGATGAATGAATGAGACACAGGCTGTGGCCCCAGGGAGACCACGTGGTGCAGAGCCTGGTGGGCAGGACCCTCAGGGAAACTGCTGGACTGGGAGACCCACATGGCAGAGATGCAGCCCGCACATCAGGGCGGAAGGGGGCGCAGAGCTGAGCCCCACACCCAGAGCCACGCTGGTGGAACATAGCAACTGTGTAGTTAGTACTTTGTCAGCTCAATGCCAAGTGCTTGCAGCAGGACCTGCCTCATTCTTCACTGTGCCTAAAACAGCTCCTGGAACACAGGAGGTGCTGTTTGTTAAGTAAGAAAGCATAGAGGCCTCTTCGGTGACTGTTCCTACTATTTTGGACCTCCATTTCCTTATTCTTAAAGAGAAGAGCTTAGAGCGTTTGGTTATTCTGGGGTCCCTGGACAAAAGACTTGAACGTATACTAGCAGTGCAGGGGGATCCAAGAGTCTGAGTAGACTTAATCCAACAATATTTTTTAGCATCTCTAATAGGAGGTCAGCAACCTTTTCTGTAAAATAACAAATAGCAAGTATTTTAGGCTTTGCAGGCTGTACAGTCTGTCCAAGCTACCCTGCAGCACGAAAGTGACACAGAAAATAACGAAAGCCAATTAGGGTGGCCGTGCTCCAACGAAACTTTATTTACAAAAACAGGCAGCAGGCCACATTTAGCACAGTTTGCTGGCCCCAATCTAGAATGTGCTAATCTTGGACTAGACAATAAAAGTAACTTTTTAAAGCTAGAAGATGTGAGTTCCTATCATTCTCTGTTAGCTCTAACCTGGTAGGCTAGAGAAGCTTGAAGACAAGGCTCATTCTTGAAGGATCCTCTGCCTTACAAGGTGGGCAGAGCTGGGGCCCCAGGAGGTTTACAGGACTTCTCCTGAGGTGGGCAGGGCTGCACCTGAGGGGGTGGAGCCCGAGTCAACTATCTGCAGGATGCTGCTGCCACATGGCAGGCCGTGAGAGACAGGGAAGCAGCCCCGTCCCTAAGCGCTTGCTGTCTGGAAACAGACCCATGAGTATGAGGGGTATGACATGACACAGGCTAGCAGAAAGTGTGGGGTGCAAGGGAGCATGGCTCCTCACCCAGCATGGAGGAGGTCATTCCAGAAGGAGTCCCTAGAGCAGGTAGCACCAAAGCTGAGACTTGGACTCTAGAAGCACTCATTCATTCACTCATTCATTCACTCATTCATTCACTCATTCACTTATGACCCATTCACTAAGTACTCACTATGTTCCAGGCACTGTTTTCGGTATGGGGGATCCAGAGAAAGCTGGGGCCTTTGAATGGTTACATTTCAGTGGGTAAAACAAGCAATAATCAAGTGCATAAACACCCCCTGGATAGTTTCAGAGCACTGTGAAATAGTTTCAGAGCGGATAGTTTCACCCTTCGGATGAAAGGTAGAGAGTTGGGCAAAGTGCAGGGAGGGGTGTTACCTAGACAGGTGGTTAGGACAGTTCCTCTAAATGAAAAGGGAGCTAAGAGTAGTTTGGGGAAGCAGGTACCTGTGGAGGGAATGGCAAGAGCAAAGGCCTTGTTAAGGCAGGAAGAAGGCAGTGTGTTTGCAGATTAGAGCCCAGGGCATGAATGGAGGGTATCCATGAGCAGAGGAGCCCAGTCCTCCTGGGAAGAAAGTGGACCTCGCTCCATGATGGGAACCATGAGATGGGGCACTGATGTGAAGGGTCAGTTCTGGCTGCTGCAGGGAGGCAGGGGATCGTTAAAGGACAACAGTCAAGGCCAGGAGGCTAGATCCCAGGGGGCAATGGTGGTTGGACCAGCTGTGGCTGTGGCAGTGAGAAGTGAGGTGCTGTTTGGGAGGCAGAGATGGCAGGACTATGAGTGGGCAGTGGGACAGGACACTGCTGAGTTTCCAGAGGACAGCAGAGGACTGTGAGGAGAGACAGGGGTCTCAGAGGTGGGGGATCCAGGGAGGTGGAAAGGGGCTCAGCAAAGAGAGACGCACAGAGCCCTGTGTGCTGAGACCAGGCATCTCTGGCTCTGACCATTCACACTTAGCCTGCCTCAGACTCGGGGGGGCACAGGACACAAGCAGAGTAGACTCCAGAAAGGAGTCCGCCGGACTCTGCTTGCCTTGGGGGCAGGATCTGTTCTGAACCATCTCTGACTCCCAGTGCCCAGCAGGGGGCCTGGCACAGGGCCACACACCTGAAACAGACGGAGGCCCGAGCGTGTGGTTGCTGTGGGACTACAGGCCTTGCTGGGCAGAGCCATGGCCTCCAGGAGCTCTCCCAGTGGCTCTTCCTTGGGCCTTGGCTTCCCAGGAGCGCAGCTCCTTCCTAGCATCCAACAGACCTGCATTCAAGCAACAGCTCAGCCCTTGCTCTGCCTGTGCTTTCACCTCCAAGACCCTAGTCTCCCCATCTGTAAAAACTGGAAATCGCCCACCAAACAGTAGCATTATGAAAACAAGGAGATGCAGTTGGCCAAGGATCTGAAATACCTACTTTTCCTTGCTCCTGCCCTAGGCCTCCCTTCTTCCCCTACTTCTGCATATGATATCAAGTTTGAAAGACCACTTAGAAGCAGATTATATACACACACACACGTATCTCCCTGGAGATTCACATGTATTCATTCATTCATTCATTTGACACATATTTATGGGGCCCATACTAGGTGTCAGGCACTGTTCTAGGTACTGAAGATTAAAGAGTGAACAAAACAGACCAAATCTGTGCTCTAATGAAAGGACTTCACGGCAAGACAAGGAGGCTGAGGAGGGGTGGCCAGTGAGGTGGCCTGGTAAGTGCTGCCGTCCTTGGTCCGGCAGCTGGAGTGAGGATCTAGAGAGGAAAGGGAGAGAATGCTGGCTGGCTTGACAGGGCAGGAGTGCAGAGCTCATCTCCTGGGTGGCAAAGAAGGCGGGGCTCACTGGTTCTCAAGCCAGCAGTCTGAGCTTCAAGCTTTGTTCAGCACCTCCTGAAGGGCCTGGCATATGGAAGGTACCCAGTTAACATGTGACAGGATGGGTGAATGAATGAATAAATGCCCTTATTTCCCAGTCCCCATAAATATCTGAGGAGTTCCACAGCTTCTCCTGGACACTGAGTGCAGGGGCTCCCTCGTGTCAGGGAAGAACAGCTCTCACTGGCCCTGGTTACCACCCTGGGCCTCCCCACATCTGGGCCTGCAAAGCTGTGGCTCATGTGTGAGCTTCAGTACCGCCAGCTTACCCAGGAACCCGCGGTGACCAGCACTGTTTTCCCAACCAGCTCTGTGGGTCCGTCGGATGTGTCTGCTGTGGCGCCCCTATCCTTATCCCTCCTTACCAAAGCTTGAGGAGCGTGGTGAAGAACAGAGGTGGTGGTGACGGGGGTGTGACTTCCTGTGACTGTTGATGTGCCTGCGTGTCTGTCTTTATGCATGAAGACAAGAGTCAGTGCTATGTTCTGTGTCTTTCTGTGTCTACGTGTCCATGAGTCTGAGTGTCTGTCTGTCTGAATGTGTAAGTGCCTATGTGTTTGCACATATGTGCTTGTGTGCACGTGGGTTCCCGCAGGGTAAATGTGTTTGTGTGTGTGTGTTGTGTCCAGGAAATGGGAGTGGTGTTCACCAGCTGTCCCGATGTGACTTAAAGCTGGGGAAGAAGATCAGAGGAAATGAGTTTCCTTCCAGTCACGCATTAAGCAGCTACCATATGCCAGACCTCCAAATCCTGTTTTGAGGCCACTTGTAGCTCAGGACTGCAAGGTGGGATCAGGCTTTCCAGGGGGAAGAGC